TGAAGTGATTTAAGTTGTTGAAAAACATTTCTAAATGAAATTTTATATTAAAATCAGAATAATAAAAACAAAAAAAAAACAAACATAAGTACTTACTTTCCTTCAGTATGAAATATTGCAAATTGTGGTCGTTTAGCCATAAAACCACCTTCAACATCACGAATTTTAAGATTTTCTAATGGTAACATATATTTTTTATCTTTTTCCTTGAAGACGAAAAAAGAAATGACTAAAGCATAAATGAAATCTTATAATAAAAATTTTTATTACATACATCTGCATCTGTAAACCAAGATAGATTATCCGTTGATAAAACAAAGAAAAAATCTTTTGCTTGAAATAATTTAACACCAGTATGAACACGAAGAAATCCTTTACGAATAATCTAAATTCATAAAAATTTCATTTAAATAAAAAAAAAAACAGAACGATTTATAATACATCAATTATTGTATACAGTCTAACGAGAATAGTAGTGATAAAAAGAACTTTTTTTTTTTTACGGTGTATTCTTTTAGGGTCATAGGAATTTTATATTAACAATACAACAATTATACAGAAATCTCTATTATATAGATTTCTATATTAAACATACGTGTCCCTATGAAGAAAAAAAAAAACGAAGATGTTTTTTGCTGTTTAGTTTAAATATTAAAGTACGAATGAAAATTATCAGTAAAATATGTAGATAATTTCTAGACAAAGAACAATGATTGAATTTATTTACCTGATTTGTCACATGTCGTTTGGTTTCACCGGAATTAACGGATTTTTCTGCACTGAAAATTTTAAAAAAAAATTGATATTTATCATTAAAAAAACAAATGAGTATTGAATAATAGATGCACTTTTTTCAGTTAATTATTCATACGAAAAACTAAGTTTCTATTTCAAAATAATTATATATATTTAACATCCTTTATGGAAAGGAAAAGCTTGAAGTATCAGTTATAGTATTTCATTAGATGGAAGAGGGAGCGTAGAAGTTAATATGTGTGTCATTCATCTTATCTCTTCGCGTGCATCGTACTATATTACATTTAATGCTGTTTGCCTACCATAAATCGTGAGCAAATTCAATAAAATCTCATTCTCGAAAAACAACCTTGCCATCATGCCTTATATTTTGATGCTACAGAATTTCTTTGGCAAAAAACACAGATGTTAACAAAATTTTCATGTGAATTTAGGGACGTACAACTTCAATTTACTAACTCTCGGCTCAGTGTTCACTGAAACATGAAAGCATATCACTACAAAAATGACATATTTTAATAGATTTAGTGTGTTAATATTGCAGTGATCATCCATTAGATATAGGCAACATTGATAATTTTTTCGAATTGGATTGATCTGTCTCAAATTACAAATACAACAGCGTCGATATGTAGCAATAAACAGAAGTGACAAGGACCTTTTGGACTGTGAGAAGAAATAATATTGTTGAAGAATAAGAAGATGATGAAGCAAACTTTTATAATGACTACTTTTTTTGATTTTTGCAAGTGTGACTAAAAAAAAACTGAATTGTAAACTAATACATCTTTACCTTTCGATCAAAATGTTCTTTTTAAGTAACTTTCTAAACGAATAATTTAACCCTTTGTAAAAGAAACATGTATTGCCTTTCATGATAATGCTTCCGATTTCAATATTCTTGTAATTTAAAATCGAAACAGGCTTCATGTTTTTTTTAGAACTGTATCGGAATCGAGAGGTTCCAGCATTTTTTTTTCTATTGGAATCGCCCATTACTACCACTTTTCAATCTTAATTGAAAAACCTCAATAAATACAAGACTAACCGGTCATGTTATCTAAAAAAATCTGTTAGTGCAATTTCTGTAAGGTTAAAATGTGAAATACGACGTAACTACTTATGTTAATGACAGAGAGATTAATCTCCCGGAAACGCAAATAAAAAAAAATTAATTAATATATTATAACAAGACGTCATTGATATACCATCTGCGATCATATATCAACAACGTTTATCATAGCCTATGACGTTTCCATGGTTACACGTCTATTAACATCCACATTTTTTTACTCGTACGCCTCAACATTCATTTTACATAGTGTTTTATATTGAAATATCTGAGAATAAAAACTAGAACTAACTTAGCAAATCCAATAAAATCTTCATTATTTGTATTAATATATGCTAATTGTGTTTGAATATAGGCTGAACATGCTTGTTTTGTTGCCATTTCTCTATCTTTAAGATATTGCATAAGTAAATCTTCTGTCGATTGTCTTAATAAAGGATAACGTTTCATCTGAAATAATTTTAAAATATATTTTTTTTTTATATCAATGAAAAATACAAAACATACTTTACTAGTTGCTTCATGAACAATTGCAAGTAATTCTGACGCAACCATATCAACACATTTCATAATTGGATCTTCAAATTTAGCTATTTGCATTTGAACTATATATTCAAATGCTTCATCTGGTGTAAAAAGACCAGATCTAGAATAAACAAAAAATATTTTTTTTTTTTTTTTTTTCAAAATCCAAATAAAATCATACCGGAAACCACGAATATTTTTTATTGCAACAACTGTTTGATTACGCATATCTTTATCTTGTAATTCAACCTATTCAGAATTGATGAAGAAGAATTTTTTAAATAAAATTTTTTTTTCCTTACTTTAACTAATTCAAATGGAAAACGTTCACGAAATATATTTGCAATACGTGCACCACCTGTTAATGTTTTTAAATCAGCTTCTTTTAAATTATTACCCTGCAATGCTGTATCAAAATCTTCACGTAATTCATGAGTTAATCTAAAAAGAATGTTTTTTTTTTGGTTCGTTGTGTTTAAGAATAATAGTTATTGTTTTCTTTATCTCGTTTACCCAACAAGTGCTTTTGTATCTGATGTTGATGAACTTTCAAACATAGCTGATGCACGATATTCAGCAACTTCTTTTGATAAATCACGAAATCGTGATTGTAATTCACGTTTTAAATCTGGTAAACATTTAAGAATATGTTCAGTTAATTGTAAACTAAGTGTACGTTGTAAATATGGAACACCCATTCGATCAGCAATATCACTAAAAATAAAAATCTTACTTTTTTTTTCTCAATTTAAATTACTTTTATTTTACCGATAAGCAGGTTCATTCATAAAAAATTGTCGTTCATGTTCAAGTGCACCTGGAATATCTAATTCTTTTGCTGCTCGACCATATTCATCAAGACGTTGACCACGAAGTACAACACCAATAAAGCCTAGATTAAATTTGCATGTCTTAATTTTCTAATAAAATACTTCTTTTTCAAAATAATTTACCTCGTTCAAGTACGACAACTTTATTTAAAAGTACTTCACGAGCATTATGTCCTTTACCCATCATATCAAGTTTAGTTAATACACCAATTGTACGTTTACCCATTGGATCTCGACTACGTGCCATAACTAAAGCATCGGATGTAACAAGATCAATATTAGCTGGTGTTACAGCTAATATAAGACAATTTTCGTTGCTTATATATTCAAGGATAATATGATCAATTTTTTTCACTATATCAGGTCGTTGTCCTTGAGATGGAACTTTAACCATACCCGGTAAATCAACTAGAGTAAGATTGACAACTAAATAGAAGAAAAGAAAAGCATTAAATGGCATGTTTTGAAGGGAGAGAATGAGTAAAAGCTCAAATAATTCAGATTCATTCATTACAGTTGAAAAGATTTTTCCAACAAAGCAACAGTAATGATACGTAATTCAATTACAAATAGTACTGTGTAAGCATGAGAGTAACATATGAAAAATGAATATTTACTTCCACAAAATGGATTGTTAGATGATATCGATCGTAAACAATACTTGAATGGTGACATGCACATTTTGAATTTATTGAAATGTTACAAAAAGGAAAAAACTAGATTCATTGTCAAATAGCGAAAATTATAACAGATAGAAGCTTCAAAATGAGGAAAAATTATTGAGAAATCTTTAAAACAACTACGTGTAAGACTAGATGCACAATTAGAACAGTTCGCTAAACATTTGAATTCATATTGATGTCTAATGTTTTTGGTCTCTACCAAGAACAAGACGCTTGTGAATCATAATTGTGATGTAAAATCTCAAGTTTGTTGTATAAGAATAAGTGTTAAGAATACAAATAAAAATTTCATACAGAATGTTGATATACTGTGTAGGATGTTTTAATAGTATTGAATTATGTCAATGATTGAATTAGAGCACTTCTTTTAATGCTACTGACCAAGCATAGAATCTTATTAAATATAAAATTTGAAAAAAGAATCCAAATGCTACAACGTAAGTAATACGGTTGATGAAGCATAGAATGACCTGTTAACAAATATTATTTATGAAAATATTTAAAAAATCTCACACAGTATATTTATATATCTATATCAATTTGTTTTAACTATAAACTCTATATTTTATACAAAAAAAATACGATTCTTAAGTATTTTGTCGTTAGTAGAGAGGTGTAAAAATTGATGTGAAAATTTCTGTATTATCAAAATAAAGGGAAAAGTTTGATACACTTTTTTACTTGCAGACTTGAAGAAATTTACGTTTAAAAAACTAATAGATCGTATACTCTTATATGGTACAAGAGAAACATTTCTTTTAATGAATGTTGACATATACAAGAAGATTCTGTATGTCAGCTATTTAATAATCGAAATTGAATGAATGACATACATCTTTTACTAGATGAAACGATATTAATCTTCACTTTTTTTCTTCATATTGATTTTCTAGTAGTTAATTGAATTATAGGAGCATCATGATTTCTTACCATGTGGTGAAAAAATTGTCAAGTTAATAGGCATATTAGAAACGCCCATGTCTTCACGTACGATCGCTTTTGTATCATTCTCAATTTCAGCTCGAATTTCAGCATAATTTACAAATCTTTGTTGTGGTTTATGTCCAAATACAGCATATTCTATTTAACAAAATAAAAACAAAAGTTTTATTAACTTAGTCGACTAGTTTTAAGCATACCCTGGCCTTGTGATGTAATCAATTGAAGAACAAGAGGTCGTTTAGTAACCATACTTCCACCACGAGGAAGAAAATCTCTATAAAGAAAACGTCTATTTAAAACAAAAAAACAGGAATTTATGAACATTTGTACCGGCCAACAATATTTTCAAGTACTGAACTTTTACCAGCTGATTGAGCACCGACTACTACTATTTGTGGTAATGTCAGTGTTAATTTTGCATTAGCAGTTGTAAATATTTGTTGAAGCTGATTGATCATTGGAATTAATAATTCCATATCTAATGAAAACAAATAAAAAAGTCATTTAAGTATATTCTCACATTTTTGTTTTAATAAAAACAAAATTTACTTGGATTGCCTGCTTGAGTCGCCATGGCTAATAAATCTGAAAATAAAAAATTTCGATAAAACTAATATACAGATATATATCTATGGCCATTTGAATAAAAGTAATATTTTTGTTTTTGTTTTTTCTTTTGTATTTATGTACTTCAATTTATTTTCTTGCTTATCATAATGATAACAATCTAGATACATTCAGTGATCGACTTGAGGTCTTATGCTCTCACATGAAAAACAAAGGAAAGACTTCCGTTTTATAGTGAGACAAGACTTAATCATGTGTTATCTTTTTTTTTCTGTTTATTTATTTAGTTATTGATTTTTCTTGAAACCAATAGAAGAAAAAAAAACTAAATAATCTAGATGGCGCCTGTTATACAATATGAGTAAAACAGATAAGGAAATACTTGATTAATACGTAAATTGCAAAACAAGATATCTAAAAAAGAAAATTGAATCATCATAACCGTTATGTTGTAAAAACATCGTTTTGTAAAGTTTTCTTTTTCATTTATTTAATGAGAAAAATTTTAAATTTATTCTACCAATGACCAACAACACGATGAGGTTGATATAATTCTTCTAAACTTTTAATATCTTCATCAGAAAGTTTAATACTAGTTGCTGCAACAGCTTCTTCAAGTTGATACATTTTTGAAGCACCAATAATTGGTGCACATACACCAGGTTTTGATAATATCCATGCAAGTGCTAGTTGAGCTGGTTTAACTTGCTTTTTTTCTGCCAGTGTTTTTAATCGTTCAACAATTTCAAAATCACTATCGGCATAATACAATTGATGACCAAATGCATCTGTTTGTGCTCATTTTGTAGCTGAAGTTGTTTCATTATTATTTTTATTTAAATCAGCTTTACTTCGATTTCCTATTAAAAAACCACGAGCAAGTGGTGACCATGGAATAAGACCAACACCTTGATCAATGCACAATGGATTCATTTCACGTTCTTCTTCACGATAGACAAGCTTTCAAAAAACAAAGGAAACACAAACAATAAAATTCAATTTCTATGAATTTTTATTTTAGATTACATTATAATGATTTTGCATGGAAATAAATTTTGTCCATCCATTTTTTTCTGCTACATATTGAGCTTTAGCAAATTGTCAGGCATACATCGAAGAAGCACCAATATAACGAACCTCATAATTAGAAGATAAGAAAAACAAAACAATCTATATCTGATTTTCAATATGAATAAATACTTTGCCTGATCTAACAAGATCATTTAAGGCTTCCATCGTTTCTTCTACAAATAAACATGATTAAGACAAAACAGAAAAAAAAACAAGCACTAATTTGTTGTTACCAATAGGTGTTTCTTTATCGAAACGATGTATTTGATAAAGATCAATATAATCCATATTTAATCTTTTTAAACTAGCATCACATGCTTCAAAAATATGTTTACGACTAAGACCTTTACGATTTGGACCGTGAAAAACTTCATGAAACACTTTAGTAGCAACAACAATTTCTTCTCGAATAGCCATATCATTTAAAGCTCGACCTGTAATTTCTTCACTTACGCCCGTTGAATACTAAATCGAATAAAATTAAAATAAATTTTGTTTTTTTAATAATGAATTTTTCTACCGAATCAGCTGTATCAAAAAAATTAATTCCAAATTCTAATGCTCGTTTAACAAATGGACGTGCTTCTTGTTCTTCAAGCACCCATTCACGCCATTTTGTTGATCCATATGTCATCATACCCAGACAAATTCGTGAAACTTGTAAACCACTATTACCTAATCGTACATATGGCATGCCACTTTTTTTCATACCTTCAACGACTGAGATCTTTTGATTGTCGTTGGAACTCATGTTAATACCGTTGATAAATTATAACAAGAACGTAATAGTCTAAAAAAACCTCAGTGACAATAAAAAAGAGTACTGATATTCGCCTTGTTATTTTTGTTAAAAGATCGTTGTGCGACGTGACACGAGAGTAGTTTTATTACTTGTTCTTTGTTCTTTGTCGTTGTTTCTATGATCATGTTAGCAAATATTTCTATTTGTTTTGAAAGAAAAGCATGCATTGAGAACATATGAAATGGGCATAAAAGCAATAGAGACGAATGTCTAGGAGGAGGGTATATACAACACTATTATTTGAAAAATTTTAGCACTACTCTGGAGAAACCAGATGACTTATATTGTGTTTACGTGCTTCTTAAAACATCACTATCTGTTGTCCGTCGTACGAAGCTTTAGTGCAAAGATAGTCAAATATAAAAGATAAAAATGATAGGTCATACCTCTAAAAAATATCCTTTGTATGAATTATATGCATCAAAATTGACGTAGTAGTGTCATTGCAGACCAACGCTGCATGATTTTTTTTGGCAGACAGGAAAATATGACTTTTAGAGATTTTAAAAGTTCTCTGTTTAAGGTCAAAATTTTATTTTATTTTCTATTTATTTTTCTATTGGATTCTTTATACCTTTTATTTTCTTCAGTATGTGACATTTTTTTCTAAACGATATCAATAGAAAGTTAAACATTACAATAATTCGAAGAAAGAAAAAAGGAAAAACGTAGAAAAATTTTCGAAAATAAATAACATATATCTAGAAAAAGATGTGGCTATTATTTAGCATATTAATGTTTTTGATACTTTGGATCAAATATATCGTTTCAGTCTGTTACTTTCAATCGTTTCGATAGACTTATCTTTAAAAATCTTGATTTATTCTCTAAGTTGTATCCAATGTTTTTCTTCATAGATCTAAAATTATTCTTATATTTTCTTGTTTATACTTATTGATAAGACTCAATATATAATTCTTAATTCTTTTCGCTCCATCACACATATTCTTATGATTTTTTTAATGTTCCTTTTACGATGCGAAGCATTGTAGAGAAACGATTCGAGAGCTTTTTACTTCCTCGACACTTAATTCGAATTCGATAACTTGTGTCATAATGATTTAAAGGCCGAAGAATTGTACGATTTTCATTCAATCATTTTCCAGAGTTCAGAGTGATGTCATAATCGCGTTACATCGGGTATTCACATTCCCACAACACGAAAACTAATAGGGTATTCAACTAAAGCGTATTCACTTCTATCGAATGGCTACCGGTTCAAGAAGTAATCACTTCGTCTCTTCCAGTACCACAATACCTCTTCGTACCACAAGAAAAATCGCTTCTCTTCGGGATACTATCCTAAGGGTAATGACATTATTCATCTAAAAAACAAACTGCATATTGTAAA